GAGAAAAAATTGAAGACCCAACCTTGGATTCTACATAAAGTTTTAGCATAGGTATACGGGCATGCATGTTAAGGATCAACTTTAAGCTAAGTTTTGAGAGACAAAGAATAAAAAAATAAATGGACAGACCCACGTATGAATTTAGCCGAATAACTTTATTGAATTGCCGAAAAGATGTTTGCACCAAGAAAGGTGTGAAACCCATTTTTAGAGAGAGAAAACAGCTACTAACTTCATCTTGTTTTGACAACCTTTCTAAGCAATATTAATATTCAACAATGCTTTGATCAAATCTGTGAGCATAAATAGATACATACATAGATGTGTATATATATATACCTGAACTTTAGCAAAAAAAACATAATCAAAATGAAAGAAGCCAAAAACCCATCTGTGGGCCGTATTACTTGGGATTGATTTTGCTTTTGTAGAAAGTGCACTAACCTCAAAGCAACCAATATATGTTTACGTACAGTAGTATATTTGTTGTGTTCTTCGTTGTTCTCATTCAGTCGTTCCCACAGACGGCGCCAATTGTAAGACCATGAAATATCCTCTCACATGGATGGTGTAGAGATCCAACGACGAGAAGAGCTTCACCTCTATAGATCTGCAATGATGAACATAGTCGATAACAACCAACCGGGGTTGCCGGCCGGGAGTACTCCGATGATGAAGTTAGTCCTTGAAGCAAGAAGTAAATAGCATATATATTTGAAGGGGTGTGTGTTCTGTAGAGAGAGATCAAACCTCCTCTTCACTTGGTATGCCCCCCCTTTATATAGATGAGGGTGTGATATTTGTTTGGGCTGGACCCATTGTAGACTTTGTTTGGGTTAGGCCCAATAAGCTAGTACCTACATTTTTCTAGCTCCCACAGATGTAATCCAGGGGAATTAAGCATGTCTGAGCTAGAATGACTCACCAGAGTTTTGGCCCAGAAGATACAAAATCTTATTGGAGTGCACATTGATGTTCCAGCACCTTATATGGGAACAAATCCACAGGTATACAAAAGATCTGCATTATCACAGAATTTTAATGGTTGCTTAAGTTAATAACCAATGTTGTTGAGTAGTTTCCATGTACATGCTTTCTAATGTTTGCTGAAATTTTAAACTGATTTTTGATTGTTGTGTGTTTAAACAGGTGATTGATTTAATAATGATGCGGTGTTGATTCGTTTGAAACCAGACAGATCTGTATACATTCATCAATTCCAAAACTAAAATTTTGGTTTTTAATGTTATCTGTAACATTTCTATGCAAATACATGTCTCTAAATTCGAAGTCACATTCTCATTTCAGTAGAACTCATATAACATATGGATTTCAAGTTTTTTCAATGAAAAATCACATAAGAGAATGTCTTGATTTGTATGATCTCTTTCGAGTTATATTTCATAGCAAGTTTATACATGTGTGTACATTATCAATATTAGAAATGCTTTGGATGATTCTTGTATGGGCAATAATATCTCCATGTTCCTAGTTGATTATGCTTATGTTTGATTGGAAGTTTTGGACACTTAATTTAGAGCAAGGATTACAAAATAGTAGATTGCAAGGACTTTCAATGTTAATTTTTTCGATAATAACGTTAACCATTTATTTGTGAAGGAAAAGAAGATGCCGCACAGGAAGTTTGAGCATCCCCTGCATGGGTCCCTTGGATTTCTCCCACGGAAGCGTACTGCTCGTCACAGGGGAAAAGGTATACTTACTTGGTTTCTTAAATACATACAAAGAGATGTTCTCCCCACAGGTACATCTCAGTTCGAGGAGCCCTGTCCATGACTGATTTGCATCTGATTAAGTGTAATATTTTGGTGTTTTAGTCTTACTATATGTATATTAAATACATACAAAGAGATTTAACAAATCTAATCCCTACATTTTGCTTTTTAAATTCGATATAAGTTTGAATCAAGGGTTGTAGATGTCCTTTGACTACTTGAATAAAATTATGTTTTCACACTTAGGCACATATACAATTTTCTAATTATGTTTAGCATGCAGTGAGAGAGAGCTTGCGAGCTTCCAAGAAAGAGTTCAATAAGATAGAAGATGATTTGAAGTTGCTTCAGAGCATTGGGCAGATAATCGGAGAAGTTCTCAGGCCTCTTGACAATGAGCGATGTAATTACTCATTTCTTTTGTTCTTTATTTCCATTTTTTTTTGGGGGAGGGGGGGTTTCTAGAAATTGTTTGTGAAATCATTTTAGCTCTATCTTTTTTAGTGTAGAATCCGGAGTCTTGATACATGTCATGCAAAAAATAAATAAATACAAGCTCTAGTCTATTATGGGCTACCTGTAAATGGAATAATTCATAATGTGCTCTTAGTTATTAAACTGGTCAATAAATTTATTGTAATGAACTTAAACTTAGTTTTTCTTAGTATGATGGTTTGAACTTAAATGTGGTATTGATTGATTGCTTGTGGGTAATTTAGTGATTGTTAAAGAAGCAGTGGACCTAGATATATAGTTGGCTACCTACAACAAAGTAGATATTAATCACACTTAAAATCTGTGATCTAAATGTTTATTATCACAGGTTTTATTAGTTATTAATCACACTTAAAAAATGTGATATAAATGTTATTAATCACACTTGATGTGATTTAAATATTTTTAATCACACTTAAAAGATATAATCTAAATGTTTTTTTATCACATTTAAAAGATGTGATCTAAATATTATTAATCACACTCAAAAGATGTGATGAAAGCATTTTTTACTGACACTTAAAAAGTGTGATTAAAAATGACCATTTTTAATCACACTCCTAAAGACCACACTTTAATAAAACTTAAAAGGTGTGATTAAAAAACATACATCACACCAAAAAAGTGTGATCTTTATCTATTTTTGTAGTAGTGCGTGTTTGAAGCCCTTCTTTTATGATTGTGCTTCAGCTGAACACGCACTGCCCA